GATTTAACCACTAAAACACAATTTGCATTCATACGTTTTTATTAATTGACAACAACTGTCAGATCTTAGTTGTTTTCATAAGCCTACATATATGGCTTTCATACTCTACAACTATTAATATAGCTTCAGCATGGTTCTTGTCTCTCCACCAGTGGGCTACTAGCAAAATGGTTTCCCACGCGCTCTGCCTAGGCCCTGCTTAACCTACGAGTAGGACTTCACTGGCTATCGTTCCATCACAAATTACCCGACTTACGCCTCCCGATGTGCAATCATCTGACACCACGTTTTGCGGACGTTACCGCCGCCGCGGCGGACTGGTATCCGTACTAACTGCGGTCTCGTGAGTTTTGAAATAAAATCGCTGTTCCTCTGGTCCTGTGAGTTCTTAGTCTAAACATGTAGTTTGTGAGTTTGTACGCCTCTAGCGTGTAATCTTAAGAACCACTTATTCGATTTCGAAAATCCTCGCACTAGTAGTAAGCTCGATTGTAAAGCTATGTTGAGCTATGCTGATAAAAATAGTACGTAATAAAATGCAGGGTTAATAATAATAATAGTTAGGAAGTCTACTGCGACTCATCACTATTGGACAAACGTGGTGGGTTATTTTTGTCCAAAACAAAATTAGATATGAGTAAAAATAAGAAAAACATGCCCCTAGTGCCCGGCTTACGGGGCCAGATGAATCTCCGGGCGGGGATCTCTCGCAACTATCAAACGACCAATGCTAGTCTCTCGGACTCCGATGCTTCTGAATCGATTTCTTCGTCAACAGCTACGGATGTTGTGCAGAAGGCAAGCGCTGACAATTCTGCACCCGCCAAAGCTAGTAAACGTGCACGCAGGAAATGGAGTGAAGATATGAATACCTTTATACTGCGCACGTACCTTACTATCACATATATGGAAACAAAAAACATTAGGTCATACCTTCTCCAACTTCATGCAAAATTCATAGAAAAATACCCAGACATAGATGTTAGCAGGTATCGAGTAGGTGACCAACGTAGGGCAATAACTAACGGTAAATTATTAACTGCTGAACAGGTTCACGTAATACGTGAGGAAGTGAAAACATATTTAGACAATAATCGTAACAATGAGCACCCGAAAATTAATAATGTAGTAACCGGTAACCAAAGAATGCATTGGGACAACGACTTAAATGAATTCATCGTAAAAAATTTCTACAGAATTATTACTGGTGGGACTAACAAAACTGCTTACAGACGTCCTCTACATCAATCTTTTATCACCCAATTCCCACATTATTCTCACGTATCTGAGCAACGCGTAGCAGATCAATACAGAGCAATCATTAATAATAAACTATTAAGTGCAAGTAGACTCCAAAAATTACAGGATGAATTTCCAATAGAGATGGCTACCCAGAATAAAAGCAAATAACGACACAGAACCTGACATATTCTTACAAGACAATTATAGATTTGACTACATCCAACCCGCCACTGAGAATCTCGGGATACATGAAAGCCTAATCTCACCAAGCAATACACAAATTTGCCCGGAAACAATTACACCCACAGATTATAATGCAGAACAAGAAGACGAAAATAATGAAATTCAGCAAAATTACAACAAACTTATTGGGGACATACGAAATAAAATTGATGGGACATTTTCAATGCTTTTTCCCTTTTTTAAATAAATATAAAAATGTCGATCCTACAACTAGACCTAGCATACCTAAACAAAAAAATTCTAAAAAACTGGCGTGCATTGTACATTACATTAACCAATCGCTGCTTCCTGTCCATATACCACTTGATTCAGACTTTTACATGATTCAAAATGCTATATATTGTGCAGCTGCTACTGTTTCAATTTATAATGGATACAAAATAATGGACCCTGAAAATAACTCCTCATATCGGAAAAAACAAATCCCTAAATGGCAAATGAGACTAGAAGACAGAATCTCAAATCTTAGAGTTCAAATAGGAAGACTAACGGACTATATAAATGGCAATACAAGCACTAAGCTTACTTAACGCGAAATAGAAAAAATTATAGCAGCCTATAAAATACATTCAATGCATGAACACGAAAACAAGAAACTAGCCCATTTCCTAGACACCCTCAAACAAAAGCTTAGTTCACTTGCAAACCGACTACGTAGATATAAAGAAACCACTCTAAGAAAACAACAAAATGCAGCATTTTATAATAATGAAAAAACATTCTACAGAAACCTAACAAACGCACACACATGATATTACTGATAATAATAAATTAGTAGAAATACCTGAAACAGAACAGCTGCATCAATTTTGGTCCAATATATGGTCAAACCCCAAAACACACAGAGAAAGCGATTGGATTAAACAAGATAGGGAATTATTAGTAGATTTACCAGAAATGATGTTCGATGAAATAGACATGAATCTATTTAAATCAGTTATTAACAAAACACACAGCTGGAAAGCGACTGGAAGCAATAAAATCCATGATTATTGGTATAAAAAGTTTACTTACTTACATCCGCATTTACTGTCACACATTAACACTTTTATAAAAACACCAGAATGTATACGTGGTAGAGCATGCTGCAGTTATATTAGTAGTATGTAACGAATGGGTCGGCTCGACCGGGGAAGGAAGCTCTCAGAATACCAGCGTGAAATAGTAGCTTAATGCTGCTGTATTTCGTATGGTGAGTGTAGAAAACGGGACCCTTTTTGAAGGGTTTTAGTCCTACGGGTGACAACGCATCTGCATTTACGTGGGAGAGTTGGGCCCTTAATCAGGGGATGTCTCGTTTGTCACCCTATCCTATAAAAGAAAAGAAAAAGTAAAAGAACATTACCAAGCTACATTACACTAGGAACAACTTACATGATACCTAAAGACCGAAGTGATTCAAAAAATCCAGCCAAATACAGGCCAATTACTTGCCTCCAAAACATTTATAAGATCATTACATCTTGTTTTAGCCAATTAATTTACAAGCACGCTATCTCTCATAATAGATTAGCAGAACAACAGAAAGTATGCAGAAAAGCTAGTCTAGGTTGTAAAGAACAGTTGATAATTGACGCAATCGTCTCAACTAAACAAGCAGTCAACAAAAAAAGAAATATTTTCACCATGTTTATTGACTACAAAAAAGCATTTGACTCAGTACCCCATAGTTGGCTAATATATATTTTAGAACATTATAATTCATCACAAAATTAGAGGATTCGTGAAAAATACAATGCTTCATCGGAGAACTACTCTCACGCTATACACTGGTGACTCCTGTTTAGAGACTGATACAATAACAATCTGAAGGGGAATTTTTCAAGGTGACGCCTTAAGCCCCCTCTGGTTCTGCCTGGCTTTAAATCCTTTACCTAACCTTCTCTATAGAAATGACAAGGGGTATAAAATAACTAATGGAAATACACATCATACACTATCACATTTACTTTATATGGATGACATAAAATTGTATGGGAGTAGTTTAAAAGATTTACTTACTCTTGCTGACATAACGGAAAGCTTCTCAACTGATATTTAAATGGAATAAATAAATGTAGGATACAATCAATTCGTAGATGCAAAGTAGAACAAAATTCATATTTTTATTTTATATAGAATAGGGTGACAAACGAGCACACTGAGTAACATTTTCTTAAAATAAAAGATGGATCCTTAGAAAAAGGGTCTTTTACACGATATTTTCTGGTTCTGTGAGGCGTGGTCCTTCCCCGTGTTCTGTTGCAGCATGGCTCTACAGTAAAAAATATTATATAACTCTCCAGACAGGTGAAACCATTGAACCTGTAGATGAAAACGCTGGTTATAAATATCTAGGATTTACTCAGACACGACAGATTCACCAAAACACGTTAAAAAACATTAGAAAAAGAATTTAATTTACGCCTAAATAGAATACTTAACACACATCTAAATGCACGAAACATCATAAAAGCTGTAAACACATTCGCCATCCCAATTTTAACTTATTCATTCGGTATAATTCATTGGTCTAAAAGCAACCTAATAAATCTGCAACGTCTCATCAATAAAACTATGACTAAATACAGAAAACACCACCCTAGATCTTGTAGCGAACGACTCACATTACCTAAAGTAGAAGGTGGAAGAGGTGTGATTGATATAAAAAATCTTCATAACTCTCAAATTTCAGCTATGCGAAACTTCTTTCATCAACAAGCCAATAATAGTCCGCTTCATAATATTGTTGTTCAAGCCGATACTAAACTTACTCCCTTAAACCTCAAAGATCAAAGAAAACAGAAAAACGAAAGTATTGTCTCTGCACAGGATAAAATTAACAGCTGGTTGCAGTCGACGTTACATAAAAGACACCGCCGCGACTTGATGAACACAAACCTAGACAAGATAGCGTCTAACATGTGGCTCAGGAGCGGAGAACTCTTCCCTGAAACGGAAGGCTTTATGTTAGCAATTCAGGACCAAATTATACACACACTAAACTACAGGAAACATATAATTAAAGACCACACTCTACAATCAGACCTTTACAGACATCGTCGTAATAGTTCAGAAACCATTCAGCATATCACTGGTGCCTGCAGCTCAATAACACAGACCCACTATAAACATAGACATGACCAAGTAGCTGCCATCATTCATCAGTATCTAGCATATAAATATAAACTTATAGATGAAAAAATAGCATATTATAAATACAAACCAGAGATCATACTTGACTCTCGCGAATTCAAACTCTACTGGGACAGAACTATATTAACTGATAAGACCGTGCATTATAATCAGTTCATCTTATAGATATTGCTATACCAAACACTCACAATTTGACCTCTACCTACAATGAAAAAATAGCCAAATACACTGATTTATCCATCGAAATAAAATTCCAGTGGAAAGTAAAAACTGTAAAAACTATACCTATTATAATATCAGCAACTTGCGTCATTCCCCATTCACTCTTTTCTAGCTTAAAGGAGTTAGATATCCATAAACTTATCTTTATATCACTACAGAAAGCCACAATATTGAATACTTGCAGAATAGTTCGTAAGTTCCTGTCTAAAAATTAAAACACAACCGATTTCGTTTGGCTAATAGCCCGCGAAAAAGGTATAATACCTCGGGAACTTGGTAATAAGTCCTTAACTTAAAAATAATCTACAATAACAGGCACCTGAACTAGGATAAACCTGTATCTCAGGTGTATGTGCTAAAAGATACATTAAAAAATATTTTCTGTTTCTTATATAAAATGAATAACGTACTAACTAATAAGGGTTATTTGGGTAAAATATATTATCATTAATTTACTTATGATATTAATTAACTTAAAACAATCAGCAACTTCTCCGTATCATCGTCATGTTCGAATTACCTTTTTACAGTCTGCCATTTTTAATGGATATATGTACAAAATTGCATTGACTTGATTATACAAAAAAGGGCCGAGGAATGTAAAAAATCTATGCATGAAATAATGCCTTATTCTAATGTTAGTTTAAATTACTTTATCTTTGCGTCTTTTATCAGCGACCTCTCTTCTGTAGGGCAATTTTAAGTGCTGTTTTAGTAACGTAACGAATAACTGGCCCACTGAGAGGACATTATAGGATTTGTATAAGAGATGGGATGGATATAGAATAGGGCGGAATGTTGCAACTTTTAATACAGCTCTTTGAGCGCGTTCCAGTGGTAGCAGTGTAGTTTTAGTTGCTCCACCCCATGAGGTTATACAATAGGTGAGTATTGACTGACATAATGCGTAATATACTTGTTTTACTACCTTAATATCAGCAAAAAAACGATTTTTTTTAAAAACAAACATTAGTTTACGAACTCTATTACATAGGTGGTTTATGTTGTTTTTAAATGTAAACGTAGAATCTGTAATTATTCCAAGGTACTTAATAGTTTTTGTATTAGAAGTAACTGGGAAGTAACATTTAGACTCTGTGACTGAGTAACATTTATGTGCATAAATTTCTGGAATGGTTATATGCTGGGTTGAGCTGCGCATAGAAAAATGAATATATTTGGTTTTTACCGTATTCAGTGTTAATATGTTTTGTTGAAGCCATTTATTAACTCTATCAAAACATTGCTGAGCATATAAATAAACCTTGTCAACTGTATTTGCGGAAAGAAGTAGCACGGTATCATCTGCGTAAGATATTATTTTACCTCAGTTAAGTTCAAGACTGCAAAGGTCGTTTATTATATAAATCAAAAATAGGGTTGGCCCTAATACACTTCTTTGAGGTACGCCAAAATGAGTATTTTTTGTTCAGAGCTAACAACCTTATCGATTTTTATGAATTGATATCGATTTTCTAAATAATTCTCAAAAAGTTGAAGCTGCTTACCTCGAATACCTATGCTCTCTAACTTATTTAATAGGATAGGAATAGAAACCGTATCGAATGCTTTTGCAAGGTCAAGGAAAATGCCAATTGATTGGTTGCCTTTTTCTAATTCTTGAGAGACGTAATCGGTCATTTCCTGCACAGCATCAGCAGTGGACAGTTTAGGCCTGAAACCATATTCATATTCGGTAATATGGATTTACTTTGTAAATAATTCATTAATCTGTTGTTAATTAATTTTTCTAATATTTTAGACGTGGATGAGAGTATTGAGACAGGCCGGTAATTGGAAACGTTTTTTTTTGTCCCCCGACTTGAATACTGGAACTACAATTGCTTTTTTTAAACAATCTGGTAAAATTCCTTCAGAGAGACAAATCCTGAAAATATGGGTTAATGGTGGTACTAGAATTTGTCTATATTTTTTTAATTTACTAATGGGTATGCCGTCCCATCCAACCGCGCTTGTTTCTTTCAGTCCCATTATAATCCTTTCCACCTCACTAGGGTCCGTATCTAATAATGTAAACGAGTTTAATTGGCAGTTTTTTGAGTAAAGAAAGTGGCCCTGTATTCACGATTATTGTTAGAATTGTTTGTTATCTGCTCAGCCAGATTTTTACCAACGTTCACAAAGTAATTATTTGCTGTATTTGCTGATATAAGCGGCGAGGCATTATTTTGTAATAATTCCGATGAAGATTCATGCTGTTTGGAAATAAATGCAATATCTTTTACATGCCGCCAAATCTTTTTATAATATAATTATACTTCAACTTTTTTAATAAATTGTTACAAAAATTCCTATATCTTTTATATAAAATTTATAAAACTGAATTATCTGATGAGGACTTTGCCATCAGGTGTAGTTTGTCCCTGTGTTTCATGCACCTAATCAGGCCAGATGTAATCCAAGGCTTTAAGTTATTATTTTTTTAGCTACTGTTCTATACGAAGTATTGCTAATAATAGTCATCATCTGAATAGTCATAATAGCTCAAAAGCTAAGTGCTCACCATAATTTAACCTGGTTGCGGTTCCCGCCAGCACCAATGTGATTGAACATTTATTTGCAATTTTAAGTGTTGATTTACCATGTGCACTATGGTGAATGGAAACATCGTGAGGAAACCCGCATATCTCAGAAATAAAATATATTTTGACACCAACACACAATGGAACAGCGCAGCTTATTGCTCTAAAACCCTTTTAGTAATGAGAAGAAGAGAGTTTTAACTTTAATAGTCACTTTTCATATACGCGCTATACGGTCAAAGTCGCGGGCAGCAACAATTGTAGTAATACAATGGTAAATGTGATAATTTTTATTTTCAGGCTTGTGAACAACATCAAACCAGGAATGGTGAAGAAGGTGAACGAATCGAAGATGGCGTTCAAATGCATGGAGAACATCAACGCGTTCCTGGAAGCGGCGCGCCAGCTCGGCCTACCAGCGCAGGAAACATTTTAGACGGCGACCTTTGGGAGCGACAGAACCTGAACTCTGTGGTTATTTTCTTGCAGTCGCTCGGGAGAAAGGTTAATTAAACCGCATTTTTCTTACATATAGCATAAGGTTAACAAGCGAGCACATAGTCCACCTGATGGCAAATAAATGCTGCGGCCTATAGACATCTACATCTACCCACAATTAAAAATCAAAATGCAGATGCGTTGTCACCCGTGTGGAATAAGATGGAATGCCTCGTTGCTAGTAAAAAGGATCTTCAGTTCTCTACACTCATCATATGAAGCATAACAGCATTAAGCTGCTATATGACGCTGATATTCTTTGAGAGGGTGGTCCTAACCCGATCGAGCAGACTCATTCGTGCTGCTGTCGTAATATTTTTAAATCATTGCAGCTATAATAGACTGAAACGTGGCTCTACTATCACATCTTCTGATAATGATGAGTCAGCCCATAAAATTCCACTGCTGCACACACACGTATAGACACGACAAGAGCCGTGAGCCGATGAGTGGCCTCTCTTATCGTAAGGATACGCAAAGATCTTATGGTTTCCGATAAATGGCGGCATTTCCATCTCGTTCGCGCGAGACGTAAAATGTCTGTAAAAATGTCAGTCTGTGTAATCAAACTTCTTGTTAGAAAACCGTATTTTGTTTTAACAACGTAACCATACATTTGTAGCAACTTTCAAATTTAAATTCCAAACTTTTCTTTCGATTTCGGCTTGTTTTTAGCTTTTATAAACGTAATATCCAGTTCGGAAAACATGACCTCGGAAGAGAACGGGGAAGAAACTCTGGGGTTCTTTGATATTTTTAAATGCCAATTTACACTTTAGTTTACAAATGATAACTGTATATAGTGTGAGGTTAATGTGGTAAAACGAAAACTAGGAGTAGGACAAAGACAAAACGCAATGTCGTGTACTATAACTAATATATTAGAAGAAAAAAAAAACTAGCAAACAAGCATTGGGAATAGTTAGGAACACGTAAAAGTATACTTTGATGTTGGTATCTCGAAACGACGCGCCGGAATAAACAGCATTATAAAAGAGTAATAAGATTAGAGAGTTATTCATGTGTTTGTGTTTATGTAATTCATTGTGATTGAACATATTACCGCAATGCACCTTTTACGCAATTCCTATTGACATTGTAAAGCTTAAAGATTATTTTTCAATGACAAAGTTCTGAATGTACGTTGCTCTTCACAATAATTCACTGCCATATTTCGTACAATAATTGTTCGTTAATAATTTCAGCTTAACTTAAATGTACGAATCGTCGACTTATTTCAATTAGGTAGGTACTTGCTGTTAGATCGATTACAAAGAATCTCCGAAGGGATCTTGTTCCTCTTTACGTCACACTGTATGATAAAGTAGGTATTCTTTTAAAATAGGAAGCGAAAACTCTTCTCTTCCTATTTTAAAAGAATACTTTTTGTTTTGTAGATATTTTGTAAAATAAATGATAGAGATTAAAAAAACTATTTATAAGTTGATATACAAGTGTAACTGATTATTTAATTATTTCGTTAAATCCACGACCATAATTAATTTCGTTTCGCACCAAATTATTTGTGAACTTTCACGCATAGTGTTACATTTACGTTTAGGAAAATTTCATTCCAAAAAACAACGTAACATTTCTTTTAAAAAAACGATGATTTTCAAAATAGCCAATCATAAGTTCCTTTTTAACTTCGGAGGGACCTTTTTGCAAGTATTAACTTTTGTTCATTCCGCTGAACATAGATATTTTCAAAGAGTCGCCAACTATTGGCAAGTTTTGTAATAGTTGCCCATTTTCACCACACTGGCCAAGCGTATTGAGGAACGTAGGAAGCATAGATCCAATACCTTCAGACTAATAATTTAGAATTGGCAATTTCGTTTGGTGTTGCCATTTTTAAAAGGTTTTTCCCGCACCAATTCAAAGACAGTGTATGACAGTGTACAGTTTATCACGCGCAAGTGACGTTGGCAACTACCAACTCTTACAAATGTCTTATATTACGTGGCTTATATTAAATGTCTTATTAACGTTTTATGCGTGGTATAGCCACACTGCAGCTATATTATACATTGCTGTGGCCCATAGACATCTACATTTATCCTAGATTAAGAATCAAAATGCAGATGCGTTGTCACCCTTGAGGACTAAGATAGAACGCCTCGATTCCAGTAAAACGAGTCTCCGGTTCTCAACACTCACCATACGAAACACAGCACCATTAAGCTGCTATTTTACGCTGGTATTCTGTGAGAACGTGGTCCTTCCCCGGTCGAGCCGACCCATTCATGCTACAATCATAATAGCTACAGCGTGGCTCTACCACGTATAAATATGTGTGGTAATGCATTATTTTGACAGCTTTTACTCAATGATTTCAGAAGAGTTATATATAAGTCAATGCTTCTACTGCGCACGCACGCACATTCGTAAAGGTCGATCGGTAGGCAAAAACGTTGTTGCCCAAAAATCACATTCAATCTGGGATAATTTCAAACTAAAGTAGAAAAGCCCTATTTACTCGTATTTTCACAAAATACAATAACATCATATCATTGTTTATATATTTGACTTAAGTTTAAAATTTGGCTACTCTTTGAAAAATTTATTAACCTGTATAAATGATAGAAGAATATCGGATAACTTCCAGGCAAATATTAAAATGTTCTGGAAACTCGTAAGAACTGCCAGGGGATGTTCAAAACAGCCTATAATGAATGCTATAAGAGATGAGAATGGCTATATTCTGAATGATGAAGTTTTGAGTTTAAAGAGATGGAAGGAATATTTTGAAAGCATGTTTATGAGTGAGGAGACAACGTATGAACTGAATGAAATAGGAACTCCGAAAGAAGAGGAAGAAGGTAGCGAGATAAGTATAGATGAAATAATGAAAGCAATGAGAAGCATGAAAGCAGGTAAGGCTGCCGGATATGATAGAGTTTCACTCGAAATGCTAAGGGCTGGAGAGGAAGTGGTGGCAGGCCTGCTGCACACCTTGTTTAATTTATGCTGGGAACTGAAGCGGGTACCGGGAGACTGGTGCAAAGCCGTGATAGTCCCAGTATATAAGGGAAAAGGGTCGCAGCAGGACTGTAAAAACTACCGCGGTATCAGCCTTCTTAGCATCGTGGGAAAACTGTATGCCAAGGTACTAATTGAAAGGGTCATGAAAGAAACCGATGGAAAAATTTGGGATGTGCAAGCGGGATTTAGAAAGGGAATGGGATGTACAGATCAAGTCTTCTCCATGCGCATGATCGCGGAGAAGTTTTTGGCCAAAAACCAAAAGGTTTTTTGTGCGTTCATGGACTTGGAGAAGGCCTATGACAGAGTGGATAGGAATGTGCTATGGCAAACACTGAACGCATTTGGGTTGAGCGCTGGCTTGATACAGGCATTGGAATCTCTTTATAGGGACTCTAGTGCTTGTGTTAGGATCAACGGGGTCTACTCGGACTGGTTTGGCATCCATAAAGGTGTCAGACAGGGCTGTGTGGCTTCCCCGTGGTTGTTCAACCTATTTATGGACAGTTGTTTGCAAAATTTGAAAGTTGAAGAATGCGGATTAAGAATGGGTGAGTTAACCATCAAATGCCTTTTGTACGCCGATGATCAAGTTATTCTTGCGTCGTCGGCGGCTGAGTTGCAAATGATGGTTACATTAATGAACAGATCATTAAAAGAAAGGGGTATGAAAGTGAACGCAAGTAAGACAAAAATTATGGTTTTTGAAAGAGATGAAAGTAAAACGATATGTGAAATAAGAATAGAAGGGGAGTTGATCGACCAAGTAGATGAGTTTGTATATTTGGGTTGCGTATTTAGCAGGGATGGGAGATATGATAAGGATATAGAACGACGAGTGAACGCAGGAAACAGAGTAAATGGAGCCCTGCACTCTATTGTGAAGAGTCAAAATGTGTCAAAAAAGGCACGTATGGCAATTCACAATGCTGTGTTGGTCCCTACTTTAACGTATGGTAGTGAAAGTTGGGTATGGCAGAAGAAGCACGAGAGTAGAATAAATGCAGTAGAAATGCGGTCGTTAAGGAGTATGTTAGGGCTGAATCTGAATGACAGGGTGAAAAATTGTGTGATAAGAGAAGAGTGTGGTTTGCAAGATGATGTTGTGACCAGGATTAAGAAAGGAATGCTTCGGTGGTTTGGTCATGTGGAAAGAATGGATGAGGAAAGAGTGACAAAGAAAATTTATGTTGCAGAAGTGAATGGCAGAGTCGGAAAGGGACGTCCTAGGCGAAAATTTATCGACCAAATTGGCGATTTATTGAAAACGGGCCAAATTAGGAGTACCCTTAACCGACGAGCATGCATGCGTAGGTGTATGGATGTGAAGGAGGCGAGAGAGGTGTGTCAGGATCGTGCCAAATGGAAGTCTGTAGTCTCTGCCTACCCCTCTGGGTGACAGGCGTGAGTGTTTATGTATGTATTTATGTATGTATAAATGAAAACCGTGTTTTATTCACACAATGATTAAAGTAAAAATAAATCGTTGGAGTCTACTTATTTCTAATGTACATGTTTAGTATTTGTCTAAGCTCGTGTAGATTGGCCATTTAATGTTTAAGAGTCCATAAGTGCTGTTTAGGTGATATTGAGCGATCTGGATCTCGGTATCTATAAGACCTACGAGTTTGCTATTTGGACACATTAAACTTGGACTTATAATCTTCAAATCTGTTGAAGCGAAAACACGATTTGATATAAAATTCTTGATAGAAAAAAATACAGAAAAAGCTCGTTTTGCACATATTTTGAGTTAGATCTCTAAAATCTTATGGAATTGAATGATGATTTTTAACGTAATAGACAGATAATAATATTCTCTCAAATCGTGACGATTTGTTATTTATTTTTCTACGTGGTCTTCTCGTAATTAGTAATTATGCGATTGGGCGCTTATTTTACTCTAAGCGAGCTCACTCTCTTTCTGTCTCTAGTTTTGCACGCGGTAGTAAT